GGACAGGCTGGATCACTGGGCCAAGGCCAAACACACGAGTTTCCACAAGACCAAATGCCGGGTCGTGCACTTCAGCCACAACAGCCCCCAGCAGCGCTACAGGCTTGGGGGGAGGGGGTGGGGGGGCTGGCAGGCAGAGAGGGACGTGGGGGTGTTGATGGACAGCAGCTGAACATGAGCCAGCAGCGTGCCCAGGTGGCCAAGAAGGCCAACGGCATCCAGGCTGTTTAGTCTAGAGGAGACATGGAAGACTTTATTGCTCTCCACAACTACCTGAAAGGAGGTTATAGTGAGGCGGGGCTTGGTCTGTTCTCCCTAGTGGAGAGTGACAGGATGAGGGGAAACGGCCTTCAGTTGCGCCAGGGCAGGTTCAGGTTGGAGTAGGAAGAATTTCTTTTCTGAAAGGGTTGCAGGCACTGGAACAGGCTGCCCAGGAAGGTGATTGAGTCACCATCCGTGGAGGTGTTTAAGAGACGGGCAGATCTTGTGCTGAGGGACATAGTTTAGTGGAGTTGATAGGGTTAGGACAAAGGCTGGACTCAATCTTGAAGGTCTCTTCCAACCAAAACTGTTCTACGATTCTATCACTCTTTGGCCATTCAAAGAATGAAGCTGTGCAACTTCCTTCATCAATTCTGACTTTAAGCATGCTCATTTTCTATGTATGCCACCATCCAACTGACAAGAAGTACCAAAAATGTACTAAAATCAATAAACACTGGCCCTGTGCAAGTTCTCCTCTTTGAAAAATATCACTCCTTTCTTTTTAACAAGCAGAGAAAATGTGACATATTACTCTACAACACTTGAATCTCATCATACTAAGGCATGCATTTTACTGGAACTCTGATGTTAAGAAATGTTTTAAATGGCAGAATACTGTGAGTTCCAACACAACTGTAAGTCATCACAAGCTCCTTCTGAGGGCTTCTGAGACTTATTAAATCATTAGTCACTATAAAATTAAACTAATTAAAATTAAGTACTTCTGCTTGGGCATGTCTTCTGTTTCTTCCTCCTCTTTGGTATGTGTTCCATCTGCATCACCCAAAGACACAGGAAACTTTCCTTCTTCTTCCTCCAGTTGCTGTCGTAACAGTGCTACCATCTCTCGATGCTTCTTTGATTTTTCATGATTCTTCATGCTGTGAAGACCAGAAAATCATTACTGCAGGTAGGTCTGAGCAAACAGTGTTACATTTACAAATAGATTAAAAGCAGGCCCATTATTGATCATTACTAAGTATGGAAAACTCTGCCCTGACAATGTCTCTACTGGAAAGAGAACACTGACCATTATGTGAGGTTTAAAAGTCTTGAAAATACATTTTCAATGAAGTTTAACCCCAACACCTCCACCCCCAAATCCCCAATGACAAGCACTTACGCTTTCTCAGTTTTTAACAATTTGTCACAAGCAGGGCAGTACAGACCATCAACAAATTCAGCTTCTTCATTCTCATCATTCAGTTTGTCTGAAGAGATCAGTGGGGATCAGAGAGACAAAGTCAGATGAGCAATTTTTGAGCAAGCTGCTCTTAAAGCCCCAGCAAATCATCATAAAATTCAACTTCTTTAGTATTTTTGGCAGGCAGACAGATCAAGACCATCTCACCAAATCATACACTAGCAAAAATCAACAGCTGTAGCTTCTTCCCATGCTTAATGGAAAACATCAGACAGGGCCAGACTCTAGCCTGGTACCCCCTCAGCTGGAGGAAAAGAGCTGCACTACAGTCAGAACTGTTAATATGTGGCTTTAAGTGCAGTGAGACAACACTCAGGCTGCAACAACTCAATATAGATCACCTACACACAGCCCATACCTTCGACATCTTTTGTCTCCTGTTCTTCTAATTCAGCATAGTCTGATCCATCTTCAAATTCCTTTTCATATTGTGCCTCCATCTCCTGCAACTCTCTCTCAAGATCTGACATAGTTATCCAGCTCTGCTCTTTATACTGCTCGGCAAGCCTTTAAGTAAAATAATACAGTAACTTCTACATGATGTTCATGAGATGCGAATTACAGATATAGCATTATTTAAAAGTTAACTTGTTCTACTCTGGTATTTTAAGAGAAAAGTCCTGAACACCTGATGGAGCACAAAACTGTCTGTAGGAAATCCAGCAGTTAATTTGTGATATCAATAGGCACATTTATGCTGCAAGTAAAGAGGCAGTAACATAGGTGGGTCCTGCCTGAATTTCAGGCAAGAAATGCTCTGCAGCCTGGTCAATATCAAGCTAACAGTAGGAAAGTCAGCTCAATCCTCAAAGCAGTACAGCTGCTTTTACTTGCTGCAAGATCCAGACCCATACGCACATTATTACTTGACTCTGCACTATGGGAATGCACCAGCTCAGCTTTCCAAATCTAAGTGTGGCCCTAGTTATCACATTCAGTGCACCACAGTACAGCTGAATTTTGCTCCAGCTGGCTCCTACACTCAGAATTACCAAGCTATGTCTGCAAACGTGTAATTCTGCTTCATTCTCCCCTTAAGGAGAAAAATATATATAAAAATAGATAAATCATACATAATATACTCCATCTCTATTATAATTACTATAATTTTAATCAATACGAAATTATATTGCAAGTGCACTCTTAATAATTTAAGCTCCTTGCTCCCATTTGCAGGCAAAAAACTCTTCTAGCTGGAGGAATAAATTGTGGTCACAATCAACCTCTTCTTTCTACTTAATTTTGCAAAAAAATGAAAGCATGAAAAAAAAAATTGCATTTAGTCAAATGAAAGAGTCCTTTCTAAAAAGTTAAAAGGAAAAAGATGCAAGACTAGGACCATTTTTCTCACTTTTTTTCTTCTTCAGCAGGTACAGTGCGAAGACAGGTGAAGACAGTTTAAGCCCAGGTTTTCATAGTCCTGTTCTCTCTCATTCCAAAACATATCTTTTTTCTTTAAAGGAACAGTGATACCTATCAAATACTCCCCAAGTAAACAAAAGTACACTGCATTCTGTGGTACTACAGCTGGTTACCTGCAGCATTCAGATAATTATTCCCTGGTTAGCTCACATCTCTACATGCCAGTAAAACGCAGAGACACTCAAGTTTTAAAAAGCACAAAACTAAAACTAAAATTAATACACAAAATTTTTAAGGATGCTTAAAGGAGCAAGTGGAGCTACTGTTAGAATCCAGTTCTATAGAATCCAGTTCTATCTTCACAGATGGTTTCTCCAAGTTTAAAAGAAAAGCTTTGTTCCATATTTACATACTTGGCTTGTTTGAGCTTCTGCTGCCTCCGAAATTCCTCTGCTTTCCTAGCTTTTTCTGCATTTTGTTCTTCTACAAGTTTTCTGTGAGCCTTTACTCTTTTATCCCTTTTACGAATAAAGGCCACTAGCTGACGGACCAGTTCATTTCTCTCTTTCCTTGCTTTCTCTCTTGTCTTCTTGTTCTCTTTTTCCATAGCTCGTTTCTCCCAGCGGTTTGAGGCCTGCCGTGTATCATATTCTTCTTTCCAAGCAAAGTTTTTCTGAGTACAGAAACTCTGCCAATATGCATAGAAAGGGTGAACTACCTGTAGTGAAAAAAATATAAAAAACAAACAAGTCACTTGTGTTTAGAGGGGTGACAAAAGCCATACCAAATATTTCAGGACTTCTGTAGCAGTTTTGAGTCTTCTATACAAGCCACAATTTTTCCTCAGAGTAACAATAAATCACACAAAGATTTAGAGAAACTTCTAATATCGTCCTTAAAATTTCCAACTATGCCAAATCTCTGAACTATTCTAAACTGTAACTTTTAAAAAAATTACCCCTTGCAGGATTGGATCATGCTGATGTTGCTGTTCGTCCTTGGGAGTGTGTGGAACCAAACCTAAGTGGGGCTTTTCTAGACAAAACCCTCATTATGGGAAATAAGAGGGTACCAAAACATCAAAAACTGTTTATGAAAGCCCGAAAGTGAGCCAAAATTAAATGTGGCAGTGGGAGATTGCAATCACTAACTCAATTCAGAGTGCTGAAAACTCACTCTCTGACACCCACAAGGAGCATGTGTGCTAATTTACATGAGAGGCAAAGGTAATTTTAATATACCAAACCAATGATGAATGTAACCGTTATTACTAATCAGTAACTGTAGAATTAGTGGCAAGTATATACTAATAAGTTACAAAATAAATATGCTACAGTTTTTCAATGCAGGATGCTAGTTTCATCTAGCATCCAGACTTGGCCAACTTTGCTAATAAACCACTGCTGACTTTCTAAACTAGCATTTGGTTTAGAGAGCTCTCTTTGCAGTTGCTGCTTTTGGCAACACTGACACTAGCATCTGGTTACTTAGCTGTGCTGTGTTTTACCTGTCAAACTGAAAAGCACAATTAGAATTAGATATGCTGTGTGGAGGTAGGCATGCACGCTTATTGCCTAAGAACCATTCTACTCAATTACATCGAAGATCAGCCATACATTTCCAACAGCAGTCAATGACCAGCACAAAACTAGCAACAGAACAAATATACATAATGCTATTTCTTCCTGGCATATTCTCTTTGCTTCCAGAAGAAGACAGAAATGAATAGCCCTTGACGGACTTCTCTTTCATGAATTTGTTTCATCTTTCTTTTACTAAGTCATGTAAATTTTTGGCATAGACAACAGCATGCACCCATGACTTAAACAGTTAAACAAGGGACTATGAAGATAAATTCACTCCTGTTTTGTTAGCAAATTATATGACTGCAGGTTAAAATTAAGCTCTCATGTTAAAAGAAACTGTAAATGACCCTTCCTTATTATCCTTCCTTTAACCATCCATGAGTAAAAGCTAGATGGCACTAAAATGGCACTAAAGTTATTTTTACTTTGTTCTCTATGCCCCTCCAATTATTACTCTTCTGCATTTTGTATATTCATGAAACAAAAAAACTTCCTTCTTATACTATTTGCCCCTTTAAGTTGCCTTCTTACTATTTACTCCTACATGCACTACTGTTTATATTTTGCAATACCTCATATAAGTATTTTAACAGTTCAGTATCTCTTCTTCCAGCATCTCCTCCTCCTTCTGTCATTGATGCTCACATGAACTACAACTACCAACACCTCAACACTAATTTCTAACAGCCTATCTACATGCAAAAGTTCATGGCTGTGGGCTCTGGCAGTTAAAGTCACTACAGCTTTTCTCTGCTATCACAAAATCACAGCTCTACAATAGCCAAAAAATATTCATATTTAATGCAATAAACTAAGTGAGATTAGACTCCCTATCTCAGATTTCTGCTTCAGAAGAGGGTATCTTCCGCGCAAAAAGATGCTGACAACAGAGATCATCCTTCCCATCACTAGCTGTGTGAACTAAGACCTTCCTCATCAGCAGCCACCTGACACATCTCTGGCCTTCTCCAGAAGACTACAGCAGCTCTTGCTGAACTCCCAGATGGATTTTGTTTTGCCTACTACTTATACTTAAGGGCTGGTGGCTTTTGTTTCTGCAACTAATAAGCCTATGAGTCTTGCGAAGTCACAGACTTAAGAATATCTTCCCTGCCTTCCTGGCACTGATCAAGCTGCCCCTTAAGCTTCTTGTTAATTAACTCCGCAGACTGACCATACGAACATTCACATCACAGATTCTGAAGCCTCTGTAGAGTTTTTGTAGCTCTCTTCTAAAACTCCTTCCCTTTTCCCACAATAGTCTCACTGAGTAGAAAAGTGGACACTGCAATGCTGGAATCCTCTGACAGTGTAATCTGTCTGAATATAACAGCGATAATGACATTCCCATTTAACTGAGGCTACTTACCATACAACACCTTTATGTCCTATGAATTGTCTTTTTTTTAAAAAAAAATACAAAACCAAGCATTACTGCTTCCAGAACAGCAAGAACAAGGCAAATATCAAAGCATTACAGTGCTAGAATTCCACACATTTTTTGCGGTTATTAATTGACAGCATAAAAAGCTATTTTGGATCTATAATAATACCTATCCCATGGCCACAAAAGAAGCAGTTTCCAAAAGATATTTCAAGATAGTTCTGTTGAATTTTCAGAGATATTAAATATTCTCTCCCTGGGAAGGACTTCCATTTACCTCCTTTGCAAATGGAAAAAAAAAATCCTGTAAAATCCTGTAATTGTACCTGACCTTCAGACACTCAATTCCGACACTACTTAGTTTGATTTGTAACTTTGTTTCCAAGCCCAGCCAAGTTCTGTACTACTGTAGTTATTAATTTTTAAAGTATGTATCAATTTAAGTTTCATATAATTAGACAGTATAATTCTACTAAAAGTGAGGGGGAGAAGTAGCAGACAAAGAAGAACATTTGAGCATGCTGACACTGTGCAGTTTTTGACTGGGGAACATGCTATTAGTTTACTACTTAATTTCAACACAGGAACACTGTAATTCTGAAAGAGTATGACAACTACTTGGCAAACCAGATTACAAGAACTCTAGTGCCCCCACATATTTTCTTTTCTTGCTTCCCAAACGAAAGCATACAATATTTTGGAAGTGAAGTCTTACTACAGAATAATTGTAGATGACAAAAGTATCACAGTGGGAGCTTGCACTGCAGGTATGCAGTTTTCCCAAATGAGGTAAGACACCATAAGAAAAAATTATCTCAATATCCCTTTCTGTAACGTAAGTTGCATTAAAAGGCAGGCAAACCATTCTCAGGAAGCAAAGAAAACATCTTTTCTTTTCTAGGTCTTGCACTACAGTTAAGTTTCATTGGCATAACTGATGGTTAGCCCTGTGAGTTGTTCGATAGTTTACCCTAAAAGTCTCGCTAATAATACAGTCCAACAGGAAATACAAATTCTAATTCACCTAAACACTGTGAATCAGAACGCAAGCACTTCCTTTATGGTAATGGCCTACAGTAATAGAAAAGACAGCAGATACTGGCAGAAGCCTTTCTTTTGATTTCAGTGTGGGACAGAGTAACAACTTCATTATGTTACTTTCAGTTCAGATTTGCACTTGCTCTTACTGTATCATAGTCACTTTGGGAATATCCAAACGTAGGGAATTCTTCAATATCTTCCTGGGTCATACATTCCATCTCTTCCTTGGCAATCTTTTCAAAAACTAGTCGATAGACTGTAAAGAATCCCTGAAATTATAAGAACAGTAATCAATCTGATTGATTTTGTGTGGCTCAATAACAGATGTACAAATGCTCAGCTACAGTACTGTATTTTAGAGAAATATTACAATTCCGCAACAGCAACTCAAAATTGGGGGAAAGGCCTTGTAAACACTTGCTCTAGACAACAAGACCCTTCCATTTAACTCCTGCAGTCCTTTTATTTCCATCTCCTCTGTGTAATCTCTGTCCCTCTCACATATCAAGTCCCTCTGCTCAATTTAAAACAAAATAAAAATGTTTGATCATGCTGGAGAAGCTGTTAAGCTTCTGGTTACATAGGATCAAGTTTTGAGTAAGCTTCAAACATAAAATTCACTATTAAGTATCCCATCTCTCTTTTAAATTAAGATGTTACTAACTCACTAGTATAGTAACACCAAGATAGATAGGGATTTTCTGTTTTTTCTAGAGGTCTTCTCAGGGTCCTTCTAATCACCTGGAGCTTTTATGTTACAACTAGTATCTTAAAATTCAACAGGGAATTTAATTATAGGAAAAACACTTTCCCCAAGGACTGTTGTAATATTGCCTTTTATTTTTAGTTTGAAGTACTCTACCTTGTTGTACATTTCTCAATGAACAGATGGTATTTCAAAACATTGAGATGTTTCACTACATAACATAAATAAATTATATACACACATTCCGTAGTTGTATAGTTAGAAGTATGACTCAGTAACTGTTGGATAATAAGCAGGAATTAAAAGCTTTCCTAAGTGTCCAGCATAAGTTTTGTCTTAGAAAGGTTTGTGTAAGAGTTATTACTACCTGTGCTCTACAATTGCACAAACAGCTTTTCAACACGAAACACTTTTCATGAAATTTAAATTAACTACAGATTATTTCATCACCTTTTCATCATCTCCATATCCAGAGTAACAGTTAACAGTGAAGTAGTGCAGCAGATCTAAACTATCATCTTGATAGTCTCCATCAACTCCACCTTTCAGCAGGGCCTCCCTGTGATTATCATACCTAGAAAAAAATACATAGTATCAAGGACTTGGAGACACAGAACATTCCCAGTGCCAGTATGGTAACACAGCACAAGTGTCACCTCAATGTACAGCTTAGCCCAATGTCTGGAATTTGTCTTTCACATCCCAAGTCTTCAGACAGGAGAAAAAAATAAAATAAAAAAAGGCAGGCTTAGTAAATATTGTCTCCTGACTTTTAGTTTACTTAATATTACTTTATCTGTAACAGCAACTTCTTAAAGGGAAGTTAGCAAACACATTAGAGCAAGATGGTTCAACAAGCTTTCAGAAATAGGTAGGATATTATTTAAATTATCCAACACTTACATACAAAAAACCCTGAACAAGACATTAGCTCTGGCATCCTCAACACACGGACATGGACCTGTTGGAGTAGGTCCACAGGAGGGCTGCAAAAACGACCAGACGACTGGAGCACCTCTCCTGCGACGACAGGCTGAGAGTTTGGGCAGTTCAGCCTGGAGAAGGCTCTGGGAAGACCTTTGTGTAGCCCTCCAGTCCTTAAAGGGAACCCATAAGAATGACAGGGGCAATCCTTTTAGTGGGGTCTGTTGTGATAGTGCAAGGGGTAATGGTTTTAAACTAAAAAGACACATTTAGACTAGATATAAGAGAGAAATGCTTTACAATGAGGGTGGTGAAACACTGGCACAGGTTGCTGAGAGAGGTGGTGGAGACCCCATCCCTGGAGACATTCAAGGTCAGGTTGGACAGGGCTGTGAGCAACCTGATCTAGTTGGAGATGTTCCTGCTCTCTGCAGGGGGGTTGGAGTGGGACTAGATGACCTCTAGACGTCCCTTCCAACCCAGCACATTCTATGATTTTATACAAAAATTGAAAAACGGTACTTTCATTTCAAGGAGGACAAACTTAGCACACACATGTGCTTTTGGCTGCATAATCTGGCAATCTCTTGAAAAGGGATGTGCGTGTGTGTTTCAGATCAGGACCGTTATTAACAGAAACACAGCACTACGTACCTTGTTAAGGCTTGCAGGCAGCACCTCACCCAACACCTGCACACACTCAGCGTGGCGCTGCCTGTCCCACCAGGTCAGGGAGGACTGTGACAGGGATGGGGGGCATGCCTATGCTAACGTGCAGGATGCCTCCTGCTCTGGGACCAAGAAACAGCGTCCCCAGAGCAGCCCTCAGCGCTCCGCCAAGCACCACCTCCC